CCCTTCAGGGAAGTTCCCGAAAGGGGTCAGTCGTAGAGACACCTTGGGCTGCGTGGGAAAAACGTCGTTCCCGAAAGGAGAAGAGGCAGTTGAGGCGGGCGGAGGTCGCCTCTATAAAGAATGTGGCAGTGAAGGCACAGCCGACCGGCGAGGCCCAAACTGGCCCGGCTCGGTCTCTGCTCCGTAAAAGTCCCGACCAAAAAAGCCCAGGATGGAGGCAATCCTGGTCAAGCCCTCAGGGGGGAGATCTTTCGCCGAGGTCTTGGGTGCAATTAAGGCCAAGGCTAAGCCAGAGCAGACCGATACGGTTGTACGGTCGATTAGACGAACCCGGGACGGGGACGTTCTCCTTGAACTGGGTAAGTCGAAAGACAAAGCAGCCTTTACTGCCGAACTGAAGGCAGCTGTTGAAGGCCAGGGCACCGTCCGTGCTCTTGAACCAAAGACATCAGTCGAGGTTCAAGACATTGATTGTGTGTCGACGGAGGTTGATGTTGTTGAGGCCCTGAAGAAAGCTGTCCCCGAGCATGGCGGGCAAACGGCTTTCCTTAAGGTGTGGCTCACAAAACCGAACAGGAGTCAGCAGCGGATGGCGGTCGCCGAAATGGCAGACGCACATGCCACGAAGGTGCTGGGACTCCAGCATCTGAGAGTCGGCTGGGTCAACTGCAGGCTCAGACGGAGAGTGGAAGTGAAGAGGTGTTTTAAATGCCTCTGTTTCGGCCATTCCGAAACTGCAAGGGACCCGACCGAAGCAAGAACTGCCTTCGGTGCGGGGAGGTCGGTCACGTCCGTAACGACTGCCAAGTCGAGTCCTGTTTCCTTTGCAAAGAAAATGGGCTCGCTGACAAACACTTGAAGCATATAGCTGAGTCTGGACAGTGTAGTGTATTCAAATCTGCACTACAGCAAGCGAAAGTCCTTTCACGAAGATAAGAATCCTTCAGTGCAATCTTGAGCGGTCCAGGTCGGCTGACGCACTTCTATGTCAGCTTGCCCTAGAACACGATGTCGACGCGCTCTTAGTCAGCGAACAGTACCAGTACCGTGATAGGGACCCATCTTTTTGGTTCCCTGATAGTCTTGGTACTGCTGCATTCTGGGCGCGTAATGCAGCGAAAGTACAAGTACGGGGTCACGCGAAGGGCCGAGGTTTCGTTTGGGTTCGGTGCCGGGATGTCACTTACTTTAGTGTCTACCTCACTCCCAACGAGGCCATCCGTGAATTTCGTGAGAAGATAGACCGCCTGGAAGAGAGCGTGCGCAATACCACAGGACACGTCGCCGTGGGTGGGGATTTTAATGCTAGGGCTGTCGAGTGGGGAATGACCTTCACCAATTCCCGGGGAAAGTACATTCTGGACTTTGCTGCCAGAGCCGGACTCGTTGTCGTCAACGAGGGAAACACGCCAACTTTCCGGCGCCCTGGGATGCGGGGAACGATCCCTGACATAACCCTTGCATCTGAATCCCTTTTGCCAAGGATCAGAGCCTGGAGAGTTCTGGAGGATTACACGGGCAGTGACCACCAGTACATTATTTTTGATGTCCTGGATGGTCATCAGAGACAAGTAGCCGCGTTTCGTCAAGTGCCCGTTCGATGGAATATTAAAAAATTGGACGTGTCAAAATTCAATGAAGCCATCTTACGAGGAACACCGGTGGTTCCCCCTTAACTAGCGTGGCTCACGCAGAGGTGTTAGTTACATCCATGATGGGACTAATCGTATCCGCTTGCGATGAGTCTATGCCTTGCAGGAGATCCCGGTGCAATAAGCGACCTGTGTACTGGTGGACTGCCGAGATTGCGGAATTGCGTCGGTAAGCATTGTGAGCCAGAAGACTTGCTACCAGGGCCAGAGAACCTGTAGACAGACGTCGTAAGTCGGATGCTTACAGAGTGGCTAGGAGGTCTCTTCGTCGAGCCATCAACTGGAGTAAACGCAGTTGCTGGGAGACATTAAGGGACGATATCGATTCCAATCCGTGGGGCTTGGGTTACAAACTGGTAACCAAGAAACTTGGTACCCGCTCTCCACCTTCCGTCATGGATGGGGCCACTATGGAAAGGATAGTCGAGTCCCTTTTCCCGGCTCACACGTTGCGCCCACTGCGGGATTTATGAAGGGTGGATGACGTACCACTTTTACCAACAGCTAGGCTTGTGCTTGTTGGGAAGGGGAAGGGAGACCCAGACCTGTCATCCTCTTACAGACCTCTGTGTATGTTGGATACGGCTGGAAAAGTCCTCGAGAAGTTGATACGTTCCCGACTGAATTCAGCCGTGGTCGCTGCGGGGGACCTGTTCCCTCGCCAGTATGGATTCAGGATGGGGCGATCTATGGTTGACGCTGTTGAAGAGCTGAAGCAAGCCGTGATGAGAGCTGAGGATTTTAACCACTACTCTCGAAGGGTTGTGCTGCTCGTCACTCTCGATGTGCGAAACGCATTTAATTCGGCGAGGTGGTGCGATATGCTGGATGCTCTGGAGAACACCTACCACGTCCCGGCATACCTCATGCATATCATAGAGGATTATCTCCGGTTCCGCCTCCTCTTGTATGACACTACAGAGGGCCCACGGACGATGAGTGTCACTTCCGGTGCTGCCCAAGGTTCCATACTCGGCCCGGACCTCTGGAATGTCGCGTATGACAGCCTCCTGAGGTATGAAATGCCGGAGGAAACGGTCTTGGTTGGGTACGCGGACGACGTTGCAGTTTTGATAGCTGCACGTAGCGTTGAGCTGGCTCAGCTAAAGCTGAACCGAGTTATGCGTACTATAAACGCATGGTTGACAGACCACGGTCTCTCGCTTGCTTTGAGCAAAACTGAGATCGTGATATTAACAAAAAAATTGATTGACACCATCGTGCCGTTGAGGGTAAGGGCCGTCGAAGTCCAGACCGTTCTTTCTGCCAAGTACCTTGGGTTGGGATTATGGTGGACAGCAAGCTTAGCTGGCGGGATCAGATTTTCCGTACGGCGGACAAGGCCGCTAGGGTGGTCTCCTCTCTTAGCCGGTTGATGGCCAATGTCGGAGGGCCTCGGTCCAGCCGTAGAAGGCTGTTAATGTCTTCTGTCCAGTCCGTACTCTTGTACGGTGCTGAGGTGTGGGCAGACGCTCTAAATAAGGAGGTATATAGGATGCGGCTCGCCCGATTGCAGCGTCAGGCAGCACTAAGAGTTGCATCCGCCTACCGAACAGTGTCCGAACCCGCCGTCCTGGTGGTTGCTGGAGTCATCCCCGTCAAACTTTTGGCGGCGGAGAGAAAAGCAATTTATCAGCACTGTGGGGAGGAACAGGCACGAACAGAGGAACGCACCCGCAACTACCAGCTGTGGCAGGAGAGCTGGGAACAGGAGACTCGGGGACGCTGGACCAGGCGACTGATAAAGCAAGTCCAACCTTGGGTTAATCGGTGGTGCGGAGAGGTGGACTTCTACCTCACCCAATTTCTGACGGGTCACGGCTTTTTCCGGTCGTACCTGTTCAGGATGGGCAAAGCCGTGTCACCCGATTGCATATACTGCCCAGGCATTCCCGATGACGTGGAACATACCTTTTCCACTGCCAGCGTTGGGAAAGGCCCCGCTTGGAGGCTCAACAGTTAGTAGGACTGCTGTCGGTGGACACGGTCATACCGATGATGACGGAGGGTGAGGACAATTGGACCTGTGTGTCACATTACATCCAGGGTATTCTCCGCGCCAAGAAGCTCGACCTTGACCGGGATGCGGTGTAGGTCATGAAGTATCCAAATGCCATAAACGGTGAGAGCCCTGAGGGCTTAGGTAACATGTTGGCCCGACTTGAAGTAATGTGGCAAACAATTCCAGGTCTGTGTCCAACAGAGTAGAGGGGTTTTTTAGTGAGTAGTCTGCGATAGATTCAGGAGTCTCACACTACAGGCTGGCTACCTGTGTGCGTAAAAGAATTTTCCCTCCTCTCCCTTAAAAAAAAAATGTAATGCTGATCGGTTAATAAATTGTTTAAAAAAGGTATAATATTACTTTTGCATAGTAAGTAAACGATGTAATGATATATTTTCGCAGGTGATAAACATGTAACGAAAACATGTCATTTCACAATAGTGTAGTGAAGAATTTATATTGCCAAATAATAGTAAGGCAGGTAAACGTGATATGTATGTAATTTTTGATAAATAACAATTGCAACATACACACTACATATTTACAAGTGTATAATGATTTATTTGTTTATTTTTTGTTGTGAAATAGCATAATTCGCTTATTAAATCCTAATCTCTGTTGTACACGCAATCAATCTTCTTCTGTAATCACGTTCATAAATCTGTCAGTATATGTGCAGTATAATAAGTCCTGACCCTTCCGATCTCAACATACTTATACTTACACATACTTATTACTGGCTACTCATTGTGTTAAGCTATTTTAGCGAAAGAATATGATATTGTTACAAAAGAATTAACACACTTCGCCGCCGGATTTCCATCCTTATACCGCGATGCGAAAATTTTTGTCTGGAACACCAATTTATTATTTTAATATTCTTCATACATATTCTTTATTTCAATCTTGAATCTTTAGTTCATTAATTCACTGAACTCCTTTTTTACTTTCCCTGGTTCGTTCCCGGGTTTCGGCACCAATGTTCAAAATGTATAGTTTAAATTATTTAGCTAATAAAACTCATGTTCTTTTCATTACATTTATTTAGAAACCAATAATCCAGCTGATCAATATAATTATTAAAGTATACAAATAATTGTTCCAATGCATACTAAATCTGCATTAAACCCACAATAAACACTATAATAAAAACTATCTAACATTAAGCTATTTCTTTACTCTGTTTAAGGATTTAGAACATTTTAACTACATAAGCGTATCCGTCTGACGGATTGTTGCCAGCAAAAATACTAATTATATAAATATATGTTTTGTCTCTGCCCGATCCTTGGGATTTACCCAGGCTTTACCCCACCGCGTCTGAGGTATGTGTTGTGATGTTTTAGGTGAAATCCAAGTGAACACAAGAAGCTGCGAGTGCTGGTGGTGGGCGAGCAAGGACCCCAGGGTCGACCCGCAGAAGCATCCAGCTCGATGGGTTGAGGTTGAGGTAGAGATTCCCTCAAAACGAGTAAGCGTCAAATAGAAAAGGTTAGATAACTCTACAATACAGTACAGTGTGTCGCTTAGTCATTCCTTGTATGTTTCAAACTAAAATATTTATCATAAATTTTTGTTACGAACTTCCAAGATTGTAATACAATAACATAAACGTCCTTCAAAATAATTATGTAATAACTTAAAAGTGGCGCCAGAAATAAAAGTTTCTGACTAGGCCTATTATGCATGTTTTTGATTATGTGAATGCAAGTAATCTATCGTAAAAAGTGTAGTAATGAATCATAACTCGATCAAATCATCAGTTTGTGACGAAGTACTTAAACAAAGCTTCACTTCAAACTACCGGCCAGCAGACGACGAGCAGCTGACTGACTCTCCAGCTGTCAGCTGCTCGTTTGTTACCCGTGTCAGCTCTTATGTTCCACGTGTAAAGGTCACTACACCGTGGGAGCGACGTAACTAATTTGAATTTGACTTTCTTATTCTCCTCGGGATTATTTCTCCCAAGCCACCTTTCTTTATTTAATTGATTAACTTGTTCAATTAAAATCCAAACTATACTAAAAACCAACATAAATCAATATTTATTATTTTCAAACCATAAAAACTGTAATACAGTACTCATTACACAATCCCACCTACTATTTTCTCAAAAATAAAAATCACAAAAATAAATTAAAATACCCCCGCCGCAGCAAACCTGCAGACTAAGCGAATTTCCATTAACCTGATTGGATTTACACTAAAATGCCTCCATAAAAATATCACATTTATTTCCTATTTAAATGAAATAGATTTAGTTTCACGAGTACTTAGGTTTGCTGCAACAGGGAGGGTAAAAGTATTTTTGTAAAATGTTAATAGTTTAGTAAGAAATGAAAGTATTTTCCAAATTCGATCAAAATATGTTCATAAACAGGCAAACTACAACAGTTGACTTATTCTCCATAAGAATAAGGTACAATATTAACATAGGAATTTTAAATGTACAATTTTTTGGAATTTTTTCTGTAACCATTAGGCGCACAACAAAGCTTCAATAACCGAATATATATGAATTTGAACGGTTGGTGTTTTTGGCCTCTAGGGACCTCAAAACGAAAAAGTAAATCGGTCCTGGGTAGGTCTTACCATGAGTACTACGGTAATAGCTTATTCCCTATATGGGAAATTCCCTAAAAAAAATAAATATGCAAAAATATGTTGTAAATAAATAATGTTTGTATGTAATTTATATAAACCACTCTGATCCATTTATTATAATTGTAATTTTGTACAAACAGTGCAAGTTAGAGTGATTTAAAACCTACAAAAACCTTGCATTGGTTACATCAATACTATTCAAACTTGTTTATTCTTATCGGTAATGATATGGTAACTCTACAATTTGAAATCGTTTCATAGCAAGAGAGTTTAAGCATGATATTTTATAAACATTGTAAACATTTGCATATCAGTATTGTTAAAAATTCACCAAATCACCACTACTTTGTTATGTAACTCTGACGCACATATTTCTAATTACGGTACTGTGCACTGATGTCTAACTAAGTCTACATCGATAACTTCTCACTATGCAACTAATGATGATGGACAAATTACAAATTATTAGCTGTTCTTTGAGACTTATGTTACTGTTTTAGGTACTTTGTTATGTTAATAATTTTAAAGAGATAGTTTTTGATTGATCTTACTTCCTGCTTGTTCAATAACAATATCAAATCAATAGATCGATTGGTTTATCTTTTGCTGAGCAAACGTTTGTGTCAATGCCAGCAAGTAAAAATAAGCTGACCTCTGCAATAACTTGAGTGATCTTAGTGAAAATCTGCTCTCTGTTAGTAATTCTAATGTAGAATGGCCTAATTTGAATTATTTAATACTTTACCGAATATGCAAAAACTACTTAGAGCAAAAACAGTCAAAAGCATTAAATTTGCCATCAAGCTTCCACAAACTAAAAATTTGTTTAAAAATCAGTTTCAATTTACATTGAACTAAAAAGTCTTCAATTTGCAATGAAAATAATGTCTTCAATGTTAGAGTGGCACTTTTTACCTCTAGATCGTTTTAAATTCATAAATTTTTCCCATTTTTATTGTAAGTTGAATACAAAATCCTTTGTTCCAAAGGTTTAAATGCAAGGTATTTTACATTTATTTTCACTCACGGTTTTGTTGTTTGTTTTGACTTATGGTTTTGTGCCAGAATTTACCTTATGTTTTCTGGCTTTCGTTTTAATGAATTTATTAAACTAGTCAGTACTTATTGAAACAATTTTATCTTAACATAAATATTAAAGTTTCTTTATGGCCTTTGAGTAAAGCTCTAATTTTATATAAAATAAACTAGCTATAAAGAATGACCAAATATTTTTATCTCCCTTACCATTTCATATTTCTTTTGATGGTACCAAAAAATTAAATTGAAACCCTAAAAACTACTGTTCTTAGATTATTCTAAGCAAAAAACTTACCTGGATTACTTAAAAAAACATTAAGTTAATAAAAAAACCTTATTGAAGTACTTATATGAATAAAGTAATGATAGTGACTAAAAACAAAAGGGTTTGAAATAAATGTTAATAATTTGAATAATTTATATGTTTTATAATGTACAAAGTAGATATATTTTGGTTTTGATTGAGTTATTGTGTAAAAGACCTTTGTGAGAGCATATCCCTTCAAAACAATTACTATACGGATTTGAGTGTAATAAATCTCTGGTGAATGAGTAGGTGGATGAAAAGTTTCTAATACTACTTGTTTACTTCTTACTATATGTAGTTGTTCTTCTTTATGGATGTTTCAGTGGAGAGAGCCATGTTGAAGGTGGTGGGAGCGTCCTGGGTCCAGACCCGAGTCACGCTCTTCACTCTCGCTGCCGTTACACTGTTCGGAATACTCACATATTACTACGGTGGAGTCCCTCCGTAAGTCACCGAAACTAACCTATTGCACAGCTAGTCTCAAGTTCAACATATAAACACAAAAAACCCAAGATGTTCTAACAAAAACAATTTATTTATGTTGAAGCCTTCTGGAGGTAATCAATTATAACAGGTTACGTACCTTGAAGTCCACAATTCCTCAGTCGAACTTCCGTTGACTAGTTTCAACTACTAAGTAGTCATTATCAAAACGGAACGTTAAAATATTCCATTCATTGAATGTTGTTATTTAAATTTCTTTAAAATTTGACGACATTCCATGAATGGAATATTTTAACAATCTGTTTTGATAATGACTACTTAGAAGTCGAAACTAGTCAACGGAAGTTCGACTGAGGAATTGTGGACGGCAAGGTATGTAACCTGTTATAAAAACTATTTAACTTAATAAAAGTAAGTTTATGACAATCAATCTGTCAAATACAGTACAGTAGAGGGAAAAAATCTAACTAATTTCTGCCAATAGAAGGAACAGTTCTCATAAAAAAATAAGTAGTAAATTGATTGTAGTACTTGCCCAATGGATCCAAAGGTTGCTGGTCTGTTCAAGGTTTGACTATCATACTTCTAATAAGAGCATTGGTTTGATTCTGGATCCAGTTACCATATTAATTAATTATTAAATGCTAAATTCTCAACATAAGGTGGTCATATTAACAAAATCCAAGTTTGGACCATTTCTTTAAGAAACTCCTGTTGTGTAGGAAACATGTATCTAAATATATAAAAGGCAAAGCCCTCACTGACTGACTCACTCACTCACTCACTCATCACTAATTCTCCCACTTCCCATTTACCTAGGAGGCTGAAATTCGGTACACAGATTCTTTGGGCATTAAATAGAAAAACTAAGTAGTTTTTATTCTGATCGGGCTTTCGGGCTCCGCCCCAGTGGCTCTGAAGTTTCCCATATTAACCTTATGATTTTTCATATTTAAAAGGAATTTCTTAACAGCTGTTTCAATTAAACAAGTTGGTTCTGTTCTATGATGTTCAATAGCATTAAAGTTACAAGGATTACCAACAGGGTGCAGCACTATTATTTTTTTAAACTTATGACTACAGCCAATTTGCAACCAAAAGGTGAGTGAGCGTAGCGAACGAACTCCAACCAGGACGTGATTGAGCCATGCGAACGAGCTCATTTGTGAAGTTAAACGGGGCAAAGCCCACGGGTACAGCTAGTCCCAAATAAAAAAAAAAACACAATAAATAAGATCTTGTTTCTACATTGTCAAATTTGACTATTATTAAGTTAAATAATGAAATCTAAATATATAAAAGGCAAAGCCCTCACTGACTGACTCACTCACTCACTCACTCATCACTAATTCTCCCACTTCCCATTTACCTAGGAGGCTGAAATTCGGTACACAGATTCTTTGGGCATTAAATAGAAAAACTAAGTAGTTTTTATTCTGATCGGGCTTTCGGGCTCCGCCCAGGGGCTTTGGAGTTTCCCATGTTAACCTTATGATTTTTCATATTTAAAAGGAATTAATGAATCTTAACAGCTGTTTCAATTAAACAAGTTGGTTCTGTTCTATGATGTTCAATAGCATTAAAGTTACAAGGATTACCAACAGGGTGCAGCACTATTATTATTTTTTAAATTTATGACAACATCTAATTTGCAACCAAAAGGTGAATTAGCGTAGCGAACTTCAAACTGGAGGCGAGTTAGCGTAGCGAACAAGCTAACCTGAAGGCAAGTGAGCGCAGCGAACGAGCTCCAACCTAAAGGTGAGTGAGCGTAGCGAACGAACTTCAACCAGGACGTGATTGAGCCATGCGAACGAGCTCACTTATCAAGTTAAACGGGGCAAAGCCCGCGGGTACAGCTAGTAAGTTATATACAAATAATTACTATTATTTTTCAATATGCTGTAGCATTGACATTAGATACCAAAGTAGATATTCCGTCTATGTGGACCAGGTGTTCCTAATTTTTCATTGAAAAATAACATAGTTGGGTGAGCCAGCCCAAGAGAATGATCTAGAGTCAAACTCTACAGTCTACAGCATTTCCTAACTTATTTTTTATTGCTAACCAAGTTGATGCCTCATAACTCATAACAGTTGCTATAGTTTACAATAACTCATTCTAATAGTTTGACTTGGTAAAACAGTGTATTCAACAGAAATTGGTGATTTAGATCAGCACAATCTGTCAGCAACAACTTTAACATGGGGATGGAATGTCTAGTTGTGTCAATAGTCAAATGCTGTAACAAGGCTCCTCTAATACAAGGCTGCGTTGATGTGTGGCAATGTCACTCCCACCGGCCTAAGTTGCCACATGGTAACAACAGTTATAACTAGGTGGCGTTCGCAGAGGCATCCACAAAATTGAGTGGAATCATCAAGGGTTTATATTATATTTTTATTGTCATACTGCAGTAAAAACAGTCGTTTTTAATGCATGGGTTGCGGGTCTAAAGTAGCATTTTTACTCTTTAGTGAGTAAAAATCGTTTTTAGCCTATATGGGGTAAAAATCAGCTGTTGTCAACTCAGTTGTAAATTTCTATTGTAAACGATTGCATGTATCGAAATATGTATCGATTCGTGCTTCGTAATCATTTTAACCTACAGTCTACAGTCTCTTCCCATAGCATTTTAGCATTGCAGATACATTAATCCATTCCCACGCTCAACACTGCTCATCTTTACTACTTCCTTCACCACCCCCTACGTCGTGGACCTGTTTCCCTCTCTTCCCATAGCATTTTAGGATTGCAGATACATTAATGTAATTGCTAAAGACAGTTCCCACACTCTACACTGCAAGCCTTACTACTTCCTTCACCATTTTTCCTACGTCATAGACCTGTTTCCTTCCCTTTTCATAGCATTAAAGTATTAGATACATTTATCAAACTGCCCAAACGGTTCCCACACTCCGCACCACTAGCCTTTACTACTTCTATCACCATTTCCTATGTCATGCTTCCATCCCTTCTCATAGCATTTCAGCATTGCAGATACATTAATCTAACTGCTACAAACGGTTTCCAGTTCCCACACTCCACACTGCTCTCCTTACTACTTCCTTCACCTCATCTTACGTCGCGGACCTGTTTCCTTCTCTTCCCATAGAATTTTAAGATTGTAGATTAGATACCTTAATCTAATCGTCATAAACAGTTCCCACACTCCGGACAGCTCGCCTTGACTTGACTACTTCTTTCACCGATTCCTACGTCTCGGACCTGTTTCCCTCCCTTCCCATAGCATTTTAGAATTGCAGATCCCTTAATCTAATTGTCATAAACAGTTCCCACACTCCACACTGCTCTCCTTACTACTTCCTTCACCTCATCTTACGTCGCGGACCTGTTTCCCTCCCTTCCCATAGCATTTTAGGGTTGCAGATACCTCAATCTAATCGTCATAAAAAGTTCCCACACTCCGGACTGCTCGCATTTACTACTTCCTTCACCACTTCCTACGTCACGGACCTGTTTACCTCCCTTCCCTTAGCATTATTGGATTGCAAATACCTCAATCTATTCGTCATAAACAGATCCCAAACTCCGAACAACTCGCCTTTACTACTTCCTTCACCACTTCCTACGTCACGGACCTGTTTCCCTCCCTTTCCATAGCATTTTAGGATTGCAGATGCCTTAATGTAATCGTCATAAACAGTTCCCACAATCCGGAGAGCTCGCCTTGACTACTTCCTTCACCACTTCCTACAGCGTGGATCTGTTTTCCTCCATTCCCATAGCATTTTAGGATTGTAGATACCTTAATCTAATCGTCATAAACAGTTTCCACTCTCCGGACAGCTCACCTTTACTACTTCCTTCACCGCTTCCTACGTCACGGACCTCAAGCTAGTGTCGTCATTTCACATTTGATTATATTTATAATCCATACCGTTTCTGTTCTAATATCTGTGGAGGAGTGTTATCAGCTATTAGCGAATTTCCCATATAGGGAATAAGCTATTACCGTAGTACTCATGGTAAGACCTGGACCCTGGTTATTTTTTCGTTTTGAGGTCCCTAGAGGCCAAAAATAGCATCCGTTCAAATTCATATATATATATATTTATATATGTGTCCGTTAGCGCGATAACTTGAGCAAAAATGATCCGATTTTGATAAAATTTCGTACAAACGTGTAAACCTACGTTTATTCGAACGAGTTCGCGAACCAGCATGATCGGACCATGGGAACGGGGGTTTATGGGGGCTTTTATGGGGTAAAAATGGGTTTTTCCCATTTTTGACCCAAAAAACTTAAACTTTTGCAATTTCTTTCCAAACTATTTTGTAGAGCTTAAAAAAACAAATAATTTAGTATATTGAAGCGTTATAATGCGCCTAATGGTTACGGAGAAAATTAAAAAAAATTGTAAATTTAAAATTCCCATGTTATTCTTATGGAGGATAAGTAAACTGTTGTAGTTTGCTTATTTATTAACATATTTTGCCCAAATTTGGAAAATGTTTTTATTTCTTACTAACTACATATTAACATTTTACATAAAAAACACTTTAACCCTCCCTGTTGCAGCAAACCTAAGTATGTGTTAAACTGATTTGATTTAAATAGGGAATAAATGTGATATTTTTAAGGAGACATTTTAGTGTAAATCCAATCAGGCAAATGGAAATTCGCTTAGTCTGCAGGTTTGCTGCGGCGAAGGTATTTCTTTATCTACTGCATTTAAAAGTCAACAGCTGATCATATGTCTTTGTTTATGTGTCAATTACTGCTTCCATAAGGATTACATTGAATCTTTTGAGACCCAGTGGGGCGGATTCCTGAGAAACTTTCTTAACGCCATATAGATGTTGGCACTCACCGATATGGTCTTTATCACCATACAAAATTTTAAAACGATTGATTCAGCCGTCTAGGAGGAGTTTGCGTATTACGAAATGCATAAGAGTCGTCGTATAAGAGCTTCGCTCGCTCCGCTCAAAAAAGTGCAAACATAAACACTGCACAGAAGCTCCTAGTGTAACAGCTGTTTCGGTAGGCCAGGGCTGTGACCTTGTGTTAGAGGAAGCTTTGGCTGTAGTCTTGTTATTAGCTAACAATATTACTGTTGGGTTTTGTAGGCCGACTCATGATGGTAACTATGCAGCCACAGTGTTCTGGTCCCGGACTGCTGGATACCGGATTCAGTTCTGGGGGCAAAACAACGAACCTGCAAGTATAAGGAAGGGAGTGGCTCGTGCTTACTACCGTCCTGACATGAGTCGAGATGGGTAAGTGAAGTACTTAAAATAATCAAATGGTCGAGGTTAAAAATTTCTCTAATTTTAAAGGAATTATAGCGATTTAATTTTTGAACCTAATAACCCAGTAACCTTGTTATAAAAATCAGGGTCTACCTTGCATGATATGGGGTAGTAGGTTTCTTTTTTTTATGTTGTTTGTAATAGTACCGAGTTGCTAAATCCAAATTTTCGACCTCGGCGACCTTCCGGATCACCTCCAAAAAACTTAAAAATCGGCGGAATTTCACACTTTTTTTACGTTTGTCTGATTTTGACCCTGAAGCATCACTTTTTCATAAAGAACAACCATAACCATTTTTAAAGTACATAAAATTACTTATCATTTAAGACCTAAATGGCTATTACAGGCCTAATAGTTTTCAAGATATGATTCCACAAACAACGGCTAAAATTACCAAATTTTGAATTTTTTTAAAGTTTAGCTAATTTTAACCCAAAGCATAACTTTATCATAGTTTTTCATTAAAACAACCATAATTACTTTAAAATTACATTACACTACTCACAATTTACCAAAATGGTGATTATACGCCTAACACATTAAGAGATATTTGTTTTGCATTTACAAAAACAGCTAATTTGAACCAAGCAGCAACAAAAATACTGTGATTTATTTTTCTCTATTGTTTAAGTGAAATGGTAGAACATTATGGCTATGGTAGATGTGTAATACTATAGTATACCGTAGATTTAAAGAAGCAAATTTTATCAAACTGTATCCTCCCCCATTGCAAATCGAGGGCCTAAGTCTAATACCACGTATCTTCAAAATATAGGGTTTTGAGATCTATAGTAAAAAAAATAGATTTCATTGTCCCTCACCTAATTCTAAAACCTCGTAAGTCTATAAAAATTGGAAATAATTTTAAAAAATGGGAAATGTAGACCTCGTATCTTGCAGTATTGGTAAACCTTCCTTCTAGCAACACGTATCTTGTATTGTTTACAGTGTGCAAAAGGTGGTCAGCTGTGCCGGTCTGTTATTGTTATGCAGTTTCATAGTGAAAAAGAGAATTTCAGTGTTCAAAATGTAGTAAATATAAGATAGAATTAACTCAGTTTTGTATATATGCAATTAGTTTATTTGTGGCTTTATTACAATTTATGTAATACGTTGTCATAAATCAGTGTTAAGATACGGGGTCTTAGAAGGAGGAATATTCTTACTGTAAAAATACGTTATAACTTGTTATAACAAATTATTGTATTAACTTTTTTGCTAAGGAATAATTTAATACTCTAATTTTTTCTGCAATACAATAAAACAGTACTTATAACAATAAAGTTGTTATAATAAAAATGCTTAGTGTTTATTTAGCAATACCTCGTATTTTACAAATTGGTAATTCTAATAACTCGTATACCCAATTTCAATACCACGTAAGTTAACCCTCCAACTGGCACATTTAAAAAAAGTTTAATACAATACCTCGTATCTTACTTTTTTTATATAATAACTCTTTTTAAATAATAAATAAACATAAGAAGTGGTTTGTTTTATCAAATTTAATAACTACATGTACATTCCTATAAAGTAATGAGCTGTTTCTCGTAAAACCATAATAATTACAACGTTTTTTTGCTCTCCTGTAAAGTAGGCATTTTCCTCATACGTGGTATTAGACTTAGGCCCTCGAAATGCAAAGCTTAAGTATAACTGCAATAAGCATTTTATACTTATATGCCAACCCCGTACAAAGGACGGGTATTCTGCTAGTATATATATATATATATATATATAAAATATATATACACGGTGTCTTGTATATATATAGTCCCGGGTCGGATTTTCAAAATATTTAAAATAGAGGTACAAACTTTGCCAAAGCTACTGGATATAAATATCAATTTTATCATATATTCAATGGTCCGCTACTTCCTCAGGGGGACGACCCACTAGGAGTCAGAAGAAAACCTTAAATGTAAGCATAAGTTCAAATACATATAAAATAAAAGGTCTTTATCAGAAGAATAGAATGCCACACATTTGAATACAAACTGACTACCGAGTCAAAAATGGCAGCTGTTCAAAGATTTCTTGATTCTGCCATTTTGAATCTTTGAACGCTAAAATTAGCGGTATTGTATTCTACTAATAAAGCCCTTTAATTTGATGTGCATATCGACCTGTGCACATGGTTTTTAATTTCTTCAGACAAAAGCGGGCCCCCCTGAGGAGGTAGCGTTTATCATTGCAAATTCAATACACCTTTGAATAGCTGTCATTTTGGACTTTGTTTTCCGTTTGAGTTCGGGTTTGCAGCATTGTACTAATAAATCAAAATTTACTAGTAGATCCTAATAAATCCTAGCGGGCCGTCCCCCTGAGGAGGTTACGGAAGACTGAATCTATGTCCAGTAACTTTGTTCAAAAAATATTCAACCGACCTGGGACATTTTGGTCACCACATTTTACTCTAAAACACACACTTCATTACACTCTGTAGCAGCAACCCTAAGTACTCGTTAAACCTATTCAAATAAGGAATAAAGCTGTCAGGTTTAAGGAAATATTTATGTGGAAATCCAGTCAGGCAAGTAAACTCCCTTAGGCTGCAGGTTTCATGCGATGAGGGTATTTCTATATGTGTAGGGTTTCTTTAAAAAAATTACCTCAGTTTTAGGAAAAAAAAAACAGCTGAGTCAGTTTTACGGTTAATTTGTTTAGGAATTTAGCTTCTGAAACAACTCTTTTAAAATGGTGTTTTAGTTTTCCCTCAGACCAAAAAAAAATATATATAATAGAATAGGTACATGACAACATTTATACTTGCAGATCTATATTATCCAAGACCAAATTGTGGTTTATAGTTTGATATCTAAACTATGGTGATTTGGTTCAGATGGGCCAGTATGGAGATAGAGTCTCAGGGGCATTACCCCGACAGTGTACAGGCCCATGCGGCAGGGCTGCTGGAGGGAAGCCTCTCCTGGCAGCTCATCTACTACCATTGGAAAAACACCATTGAGAAAGCATGTGAGAACCGTGAAGAGTTCTGTGACCAAGCGAGAATCATTCTGGACCAGAATACTGTCAATATTCGAGAGAAGGCGAGAATGTTTGACCATATTGATCCATTTTGGCATCAGGTATGTAATTGTATTAAACCCATTAAATCAGAATTGATCATGATAGAATAATCTAGGTAAAAGTATTTTATTAGTATCAATCAACTCCAAGTAAACAAAAACAATTAACACATGATAATAAACTAAAATGACAATAGTCAGTAGAGCCAACCATTACATCTCCCTCTTTAAAGGTTGAGTTTCTGGGGAGGTTTTATAAGTCGTCTTGATCGGGTTGTTATGTTAGCAGAAGACATTCCAGAGGTGTTTGGAGGAACCGTTGAAAAGTTTGGCATGTCTTCATGATGATCCATCGGACCTCTTGTTAATGGTTGACTGTTACGGTTATCTGTTGAAAAGTTTGTTAAGCACATATACCGTTGTCTTCCTCAGATCGATGATCCTTCTGACTACTTGTTGATGGTTGATGGTTGTGGCAATGATCCTTCTGACTATTTGTTGATGCTTGATGGTTGTGGTAACTTTCCTTTTGAATGTTTGGCATTGGTTGTAAGTGAAACCGGTTTCTTCGAACTATGGTTCCTTTGTCCGTCAGTACTTTATAAGATCGTGGTGAGTTTAACTTTTCTACGACTTTTCCTTCACGTTTCAAATCAGATATCCAAACTTTGGTTCCTGGGTTCATATCTGATAAGGGTCGAGCACCATGTCGTCGATCGTAATTTCGTTTGTAATTTTGTCTATAATGATTCTCCTTCTCTCGGAGATGACTGAAGTCTGGCTTGTTCTCCAGATGACATGGTAAGGTAGGCAAATTGTCCCGTAGTCTGCGTCCGTATAATAACTGTGCTGGACTGTAACCGTTGGCCAGTGGAGAGTTCCTGTAAGACAACAAAGCTAAATATGGATCTCCTTTGTTCTTCTTTAGAACAGCTTTTGCAATTTTTACAGCTGCTTCGGCTGAGCCATTGCTCTGATGAAACTGAGGACTGCTTGTTTTGCATAAAAAGTTGTACTCTTTGGCAAATTTTCTGAATTCTGCACTAGTGATGCCAAACTGCGTTCCACTATCTGAGTATAAAACTTCAGGAATACCGTGGCGAGAAAACGTTGACTTGCATTTCTCAATAACTTCAGATGCAGTGAGCGATTGTAGAGTTGCAATCTCAAAATATCTCGAGAACTGATCTGTTATAACAATGAACCATTTGCCATTAAGCTTGAACAAATCCATTGCTGCCTTTTCCCATGGACGTTTTGGAAACTCGGAAGGAATGAGCGGCTCATTTCGATTTTCTCTGTGTTTAATGCATGTTGGGCATGAAGCTACCATCATATTTATATCTGATGCCATTCCTGGCCACCATAAACTGAATCTAGCCTTTTCTCGACATTTGGTGGCTCCTAGATGACCGACGTGTATTCTATGAAGCATTTCTTGACAAAGACTTGATGGTACTATTATTCTAGAATTGCGTAAAAGTAAGTTGTCCATCAGTGATATCTCATCTTTAACCGAGAAGTAGGGGACTAGTTGAGATGGAAGTTGTGATTTTTCTGGCCATCCAGTATGACAGTATACTGCAATCTTTCTGAAGATGGGATCTGCTTGCTGAGCTTCCCGTAACCTGTTTATGTTTTCATCAGTCGTAGGTATGTTTTCAACCACATTTTGAACAAAAGCTTCAATTTCTTCTTCCATGTCATATGTTTCCTTGCTTGGAATGGGGCATCTTGAAAGACAGTCTGCTGGTGCAAGGTGTTTTCCAGGCGTATATGTCACTGAATATGAGTATCTCATCATGCGAAGCCTCATTCGCTGTAAGCGAGGTGTAATGTCATCCAAATTCTTAGATGATAAGATTTTTACAAGTGGCTTGTGATCCGTTTCAATTACAATCTCTCGACCAATTATATAGTCTCTGAGCTTGTCACAAGCCCATGTGATTGCCAGGGCTTCACGTTCAATATTTGAATATGATTTTTCAGCTTCTGTAAGTGACCTTGAAATGTAAGAAACAGGTCTGAATTTACCATCATGATGTTTCTGAAGAAGCAATCCGCCGAGACCATAAGAAGAAGCGTCTGCTGACACAAGAGTTGGTAAGCGAGGGTCGTAAAATGCTAGTTGGGGTGCTGAGGTCAGAAGTTTTTTTTATACTTTCAAACGCATGCTGTTGTTGTTCTCCCCAAAACCATTCATTTTTCTCTTTAAGTAGATCATGGATTGGTTTTAGTATTTCTGATCGATTTGGTATGTATTTACCACAAAAATTAATCATTCCTAAGAAGCGTTGTACTTCTTTTATATCAGATGGAGGTTTCATCTCAAGAATGGCTTTGACTCTTTCATGGCTGATTTGAACCCCTCGGGATGAAAGGTGATGTCCTAAGAATTGTACTTCTGGCTGAGAAAATACACATTTGTCTTTATTCAATGTAATTCCAGCATTTCTGAGTTTCTTTAAAACTTCATTTAAGATCAAGTCATGTTCCTCTTGACTGGAACCCCATACAAGTATGTCATCGATGTGAGCTAAACAGTTTCGTTGAGATCCTAAGGTTTCTTGAATTCGTTTCTGGAAATACTCGGGAGCACTTGTGATACCAAATGGAAGAACTTTGAATTTGTATCGGCCCCAAGGAGTTAAAAACGTGGTGAGATCTTGAGATTCTTCTGCAAGAGCTATTTGCCAAAACCCATGGTTGGCATCCAGTTTGGAAAAGACTTTGGCATCTTTTATTCGAGCCATCGTATAATCAATGCCCCAAATAGGATGAGTTTGTCGAAACACATTCTTATTAAGCATAGTAAGGTCCACACATATTCGAACCTGAGTTCTATCTTTCTTAGGCACCACGACCATAGGTGCGCACCAAGAAGTAGCGTGATCAACGGGTGTTATAACGTCCATATTCACCATATTTTCAATCTCCTTCTTTGTTTTTTCCCAAAGAGGTACTGGAATCCGTCGAGGAACTGATATCGCATAAGGTTTTGCATCATTTTTAAGTTCAATTTCGTAGCTCCCCTTCATTTTTCCTAGACCACTGAAAAGGTCAGGAAAGTTTTTGATCCAATCATTAGCAGATTTGTTGAAATTAGTTTTCGATACCTCACGAATAACCGGTATTATTTTTAGTTTTTCTATTGCTGGTTTGCCAAGTAGTGGTGTTGTGCATTTGTCAGCCACATACATTTTTTCCATACACGATTGTCCTTTGTAAGAGAGTTTTGCAGTGATTGTGCCAAGAACAGAAAGAGGCGATCCTCCAGCCGCACTTAAAGTTCTCTGGGTAGGCTGGACTGCAATTTTTTTGCTTAGCTTTATGTTGGATGGTATTACTGTCACGTCAGCTCCTGTGTCGATTTTGAACTTGACAGTGTCTTCATTAAGTCTTACATTTATTGTCCAGGGATCATTTTTTGTTTTACTAGAATACACACACCCAATGAATTTTTTCGATGGGTCTGGTTCATTAGCGATTTGGGTAAAGTCATCTGAACGATCCAAGTCTATTTCTCGAACATTGTTTTGAAGACAACAGTGTGAAAAGTGGCCATTTCGCTTGCACCTAGAACATTTGCGATCTTTTGCTGGACACAGACCTCTTCGATGAGAAGGGGTTGAACCACACCAAATACAAGAGTTGGGATAGCTCTTGACATTTGAGCTTGAATACGTTAATCTCCCTTGATCCCTATTTTCTCTTTTGGATGAATGTATTGCATTATCATATCTAGCACGTTGATTTTTATTTACAGCTTCGATTGATGGGAGGGTCAATTCTTCTTTTTGTCGTTTCAATTCTTCTGATTTGCGAAGTGAAGTTATTGCAGATTCCAATGTAACTTTATTTTCTAATTGTAGTTTATCACTCAAATCTTGATCACGCATACCAATAATAATGACCATTAATAACATTTCATCTTCAAGCGTTCCCCATTCACAGGTACGAGCAAGAGAATATAAATCTGTCACAAAATCTTCTGCAGTTTCTGTTAGTCCTTGTTTTCTACGTAGAAATTTGGCTCTTTCATAAATAATATTCTTCTTTGGATTGAAGTGCCCATCAAATTTGTCCATGACTGTTTTATACTTTGTTTCTTCGTTGGTCATTTTGAAGGATGAGAATATTTCTTCTGATTTTGGGCCCATTGCATATATGAGTGTACTCACTTGTTTTTCTTCAGATGATTGATCCAAATCACTAATTGTTCTAAATCTTTCGAAACGTTTTTTCCATGGTGACCATTCCGCTGGTTGGAAGGAAAAAGGTTCAGGCATTCTTACTTGTGTATGAGCCATGATAAACTTTTTTGATAATGGTAGATACCACAAAAGTTGTTGATCTGTTTGTATAGGTAAAAAAGTTAAATTTCAGTGTCAGTATATTAATTCCCAAACTATGCAAATACCGACTGCGCCATGTATTAAACCCATTAAATTTGAATTGATCATGATAGAATAATCTAGGTAAAAGTATTTTATTAGTATCAATCAACTCCAAGTAAACAAAAACAATTAACACATGATAATAAACTAAAATGACAATAGTCAGTAGAGCCAACCATTACAGTAATAGTATATTTCGTACCTAGTGCCGAAAATGAGGTTTTGCCAGCTTGAGATAGTTTTTAAGTTCGAGAACATAAAACTATCAAGAGCTGCAAAACCCTTTCAGTCCATGGTACGAACGCTATTTCTCTCCACACTATACAGTGCCCTATTACCACTATTCACCACAATAATAATGCACACTGATAGTCAACACAACTACAACTTTAAGGCTATGCGGAGAAATAATTTGAGGAATCAGCCAAAATAATAATAAATAGGATTTGGTTTAAAATCCTTGAAGGACCCAGAATAAAGCTATTTCACTGCTAATGTTGTGAGGCCAGAAGTCTCCACCACCCTTGCTAAACAACAAAATCCAAAAACAAAACAAAATCCCTTTTTGTAACAAAATCCAGTTTATTCTGTTATTTTGTTGTTTTACTTTTACTTAGTACTTAGTGGGGTAAGTGGAACCAGGGGGCAAGTGTAACCTCAGCT